CAACAAGTGTGCGACATACTCTCATGACGCATGTGACTCCCTCTATTCAATTCTACCAAACTATTACTTCGAGTTTTGGCAGAAAACGGAAGCACCGGTTTTTAGTGGGAAGGAAGGGTGGGAAGTGTGAAAAGAGGTAAGTACCTATCAGAAATACATTTTCAGTATAGGAAAATTATAACATCTGATACGGTACATTATCTCCACTCACATAAATAACTAGAATTCCACATTGAATAGATGCAGGAACTGGTGCAAGGGAAAGAACGAAGTATCCTTTGAAAGCATCCAAAGGACACTCCCTAAGATCTGATGTGGGGGACCACACCAATTCTGAACCAGGTATACTCTTTGCCCATCGTAGAAAAATGTTGCACACATGGGCAAAAAACAGAGGAGAACATCCAATGGAATAATAGACATAGAGGGATAGCATAAGGGAAGAACTGTAATAATCTACATTCGGCTTGTTCAGGAGGATTAGTGTGGCAAGATCAGAAGAAGGAGATTGACCCATATAATGATCAATCTCATTGTAGATAATAGCAGAGAAATCAAATGACGGGTCTCCGCCACCTGCAGCTTGTGAAAATAGTACTAGAGGTATAACATCTGAAGTGGGAACAGCAACCTCAGAATTTATTATAGGAACACACAAATCAAATAAAAGTGTTTGATGTAAAATATGTGAGTGTAAGAAAAAAATAAAATAAAGACTGGGAAATTACGTTAAATTAAAAGATTTCTTCAATGTAAAGAAAAAAATAATAATGAAGAAATCCCACTTCAGAAATTAAACTATTAAAATCATGAAAAGGATTCACACGAAGAGCACAAAAAGAAAAAAATGTCTCAACATCAGCACTAATAAACAAGAAATGATAGTTTGGTAGAACTGATTAGATGGAATCACATGCATCATGATAGTATGTCGCACTTCTCGGTGGAAAGTTGATACATGATGATCTGCATGAGAGACGCACTGGAATCAGTTAATTCTAATAGAGGGGAGATAGAGGACAGCACTGAATGAGAATAACTATTTATGTGAGAAGGGGTAATGTACCGTATGGAAATTTACACTATTTGGTAGTTACATCCTTTAATTTTCTGGAATGTTTTCCAAGAAAAATCATATTAAAAGTCTAAGATTAATGGAATATTAATAACTACATGTTACTATTTTGGAAGTAAACAGCTATGAAAAATTCATTACGATATTCAGTAGAATTCTAGTTATCTCTTTAATTTATATAAAAAAAAAATTCCAGAAATATTTCAAAATTCTTCATTGAGAAATTTAAAACAATTAACATTATACAATTATCTCAACATTATTTATTACATACAAACACTTCTTTATTAACCTAAAGAATCCTATGTAAATGTCAGACTAAATATTTAAAACAAAAATCAATGAAGAAATGTGTCACAAGCAGATGGCACTCATTATGGACCACAAGAAGGGAAAAAGACCTAAATAAAATTCTGTTTAACTGAGTTAGTATTATAGTGAAAAAGCTATACCTTTGATTTAATTTCATGCATACTTAGTGAAACAAACTGAACATAAAGCTAAAAGCCTATTCTATTTGCTGTTTGGTTTCCACCATTGCTTTACAAAACGTAATGTCTACACACGTTATGAGAGCTTTCAGCTCCTAATCTACTATCAGTATTACATCACTCTAAAGTAAGTAGTTCACTTATAAGTAATCTAAAGTAGTAAAAAAAAAGAACAGTAATGCTTTAGTAGTGTTAAAAAAAATAACACAAGCAACCACAAATGTTATTTTTGTGTTGTTAACTATCTAATGACCCACTCACTGACTATTAACACATTACCTCAAGCAATCATTAAGCCACACAGATGAAAAGTATTTTAATGAGAGACCAGTAAATTATTTTTTCACAATATGGTCTTACTTTAAAATACTGCTGTTCCTGTTTGTTTTAATTCTAAATATAAAATGGCACACATATAACGTGACATACCACACTTTAGAAGAGTGACACTGAGGCTGTACTAAACTTACAACAAATGATGCAACACACAATAATGTAATTAAAAATGCTACCTTGTTCTGAACAATAATACTGTTTTGGCTTCTTGATAAAACTTATAAAAAACTTGCTACATGATTCACAGCTAAATTGGTTAAATCTTCTTTGAACTCGAGAGTAAGATTTTACAAGTCCACATATAACACAAGTGATAGTTCCTGCCCGACCACTTCGAACCCCCTCTGAAAAGATTAAAATTTTAAAAATTAATCAATATACACAATGTCAGGAAAACATGCAGGTTTAAGAAATCAATTTAACACAAAAATATGATACTCTATAACCCAAATGCTTTGAAAAGGTGAACATTTCTTCTTCAGGGGAAAAACTAAGAAGCAAAATCAAAAACAAAATCCTAGTTTGCCCCTGAAGAAGAAAGGTCCACCTTTTGAAAGTGCTCGGGTTATAGGGTATCATATTTTTGTATACATATATATTAACACACACACAGAGCCAAACTGTACATGTATACTGATCTGCAAAATTACTCTAGTTTCTTCAATTGCTTTTGCAACAACGTATAAGAGGTCAAACCAACAACAATTTTGTTAAGTGTCATTTTTATAAACTGCTAGTCCTATCAAACCGATTGACATTTGTTTACTTTCTGCCACTGTCATTAGTATGACAGCAAAGTACAACCTTATCATTTTAGATAACACTAAGTAACTATCAGGTAAATTCTACAAATTTTGATAACTTTTTTTTTCTATTTAATTTTCAACATTAAAATCAAGAGTGATTCTTATAGAAATTAATAACTGTTTGGTCATAACAATATCCAGAATATAACAAAAGTACTAAGATTGCCTTTCAATTATAATAATATAGTATTATAGCTTTAGAAAAGTATAACTTTCATGCTTATTGGTTCACTTATTACAGAAGTATTCATTTGAAACTTTCTTCCTCCTGCATATGTCAAGATTTTGGTGGTAGTCCAATTGCCTTTTGAAAGTAATTTTCATACAGAAAACACATGTCTGAGATAGCTTGAATGGGTAATGAAGTTTAACACAGTAAGAAATGTACAATGTTTAGAGCCTTATTGGCCTTTGAAGGTTCAGAACACATTACCGTACGAAGGTTCAACCTTCAATAGTACTAATTTGAATAATTTTCTGATGATGTTCTTTTAACTACTAGTTTATACATGACTGAAAACCCTTTTATTTTACAAGCAATACATATAAATGAAATAAAACACTGACATGTAGTTTTAAAATGTTATACTGAACAGTATTCATTTTATATTTTAAACAAAATATGCAAATTGTTTATGTACATGTATTTGATGCTACATGCAATGGTCATATAACAAGAGACATTAATCTTGCACTGCAAGAACACTCTATTGCAGCCAATTAAAAAAACTGCAGCTGACTTAAGCAAAACAATTCTTTATTTAACAGTCATCATTCCAAGTAACTTAAGTCTTTTTTAACAAAAAATTGTTGATTAATTAAACATATCTAATAAACTAATAATAAACTGCAAAATAGGACAGAGTAATACTAACAGTTCCATGATAAAACACATCTGAACCTTTCAATATAACAGTTATAAGAGTATGTGCTATTATCAGTCATATTTTTTTAACAATATTGTTGATTAATTAAACATATGCTTTGGGGAGGGAAGGAGTGTAGGGATACACCAGTGTTCCTTTTTCAACATTGAAATTATTTGTGTTAAAATATATTCATGTTTCATATTTATTCTGCCATAAAATTTCTTACACACAAGCATTCAGTACATTTTATATGAGAAATGCAGTCAAGAAATGTTGCCCGTGTTCTTCACCATACTGGTCTGTTCCAATGCATTAAAGTAACTGCAACAACTAACTTTTTGGGTGTGCGTTTTTGTTCCTTATACAATAACTGTTGTTTAAGTAATGGGTGGACATTATACAAATCAAAAGATCAAATTTCTATTTGAGTAGCATTTAATATGTGATTACTCTTCAAACAATGTCAAACAGTTTCTGTTAACAAAAGAAAAATACAAACATATCAGACACTGCTTGAATGTCTATCAAAGAACCTTCAAACATTTGAAGACAACACTAAATGTTTCCACAAATGTTTCTCATCATCAGGTACAAGTAGCTTATCTAGATGCAAGAATATATTATGAGTGATGAAACAAAGAGGTCACTTGACCAGAGATTGCTTAATGGCTTAGTAAAGAAGCATTTGTTGCTGTGTTGAACTTGAAGTTTCTTCACTACTCATTCAAGCCATCTCAAATCTTTACCCATTGTAAAGTATGTATTTTTTCTTATTTGTAAGTGTGTAAAAATTAAAACAGTGACCAGTGAAAAATAAAATACAAGTTTCATAATATTCACTAAAAATGTAAATAAAACAACAGTGTAGGAAAATATCACAAATGTATTTTGATGCAAAGTGCACAACATTTGTATTTCAAAATGCTACATGTGCATTGCAAAGTTCTTATTTTACACTGGCATTATAAATAATTTACTACCCTAAGTGTATCCAGCTTCATCATGAGATTGTTATGTTGGTCAATGCTATAGCTTAGGTTCTCATATTGTCACTGTTATGCCTGAAGTTCTCATGTTATGTCAATTTTATAGTTTAGGTTCTCAGACTGTTATCATTATGCCTGAAGTTCTCGTGTCACTGTTATACCAATTTCTCTCATTGTATCAGTATTATGCCTGTGCATTCATTGAGCCACGGTTATATCCCAGGTTTTCATGCTGTATCAATCCCTAAGAAGCAAGAAATATTTATAACTGAATGCTTTGTTAAGTGTTTTGATATTGTTTTCTTCATTTATAGAAAGGTCAGAATAGATCACTGAGCTGCATCATTAGTTGAGGTTTGAATATATTTTTTTGTTTTGAAGTTCATTAATGAATAAACATTTGGTGATAATATAATAAGTAATAATAACTGATGAATGAAAATTTTCTTTAAGAAAAACCTCATACAGAGGCAATGAAATTGATTACCTATGAACAAAGATCAGTGTCATATAAAATAACTGATTAATCAAAATTATGTTTCATTCAATTAATGTTATGAAAATAATCAACTAGTGTTTTTGTTTATTAATGTTTTGATTATCCCAACTATCCAGTAAAAATTATGATTAAATTGGATGTCATAAAAAATCAACTAATCAAATTATGTTTCCAATTACCATTTTCAATAATTCTAACTATGCAGTAATCAGAATATTGCCATTATGATTTTTCATTATTATTTTAGATTAATTCAAATTTGTTCAGCTTAATTAATTACTGCCACAACAAATGAAAATAATCAACTAATCAAAATTGGGGTTTGCAGTTATTAGTATTCTTAGTTTCTACAATTATCCAAGTAACTGAAAAATTGCCATTATGTTTGTTTGTTACTAAGCACAAAGCTACATAATGGCTTATCCGTGCTCTGTCCATCATGGATATTGAAACCAGGTTTATACCAGTATGTTTTTTTAGCTATCTTGTGAGAATAACTTATTCGTTGAATGTAATTGATTAACAGATGAGCAAACAGATGAGGGGATATCATTGTGGGTTTAAAGTTAACCATTAATGAAGATGTGGTAACAAGAGTTAAAGTGAAGAATATTTACAGAAGAGTGATTACTGAATGAAAAATTCTGAAGTTTTTACTACATGTTGAGATAGAATAAGGATGATAAGTATAAGTATGATAAGGATGATCAAACCTAACTGGCTCACTAAAGACAAAGGAAACAATAAAAGAAAATACCACAAATTGTAGAAGCTTAGATTAACAGACAGGAAGACCACTGTTTTTCAGCATCAAGAAGCTATAAGCTATTAAACACGTCATAAAAGCTCAGTTTTCCATTCTTTTAAACTTAAAGAGATGATATGGTCAAAATTTGGAAAAATTTATACAGAGGTCAGAACAAAGTGATAAAAAGCTTGATGATATGCTGCTAAAAGAAAAAGTGTTTGTGGACAACTTTCACATGATAAAATAAAACATAGCTAACATGGACTTGTTAATTATATTATCATTATTACCTACTTTAGCTAATCTAGTCTTAAATAACTTATAAAGATCCCTATTTTGAGATTTTAGTTACTTTTATAATAATAAATAAAGCATAAATATGAAAAACAAGAAATAAAGTACTTACCCAATCATCTTTTTTCTTGCTCTCGGGTTTACGACGAGAGTTAGCCCTAATTTTATGTA